TTTTTTTTTTTTTTTTTTTATTCCGACTTCCGATCACATCGAACTCTAAAATAAAAATGAACACTGCACATGATTGTTACAATGTTGTTTAGAGTTATTTGTTATGTTTAAACATTAATGTTGATACATGCCATTTTCTTTCTCTGTTATTATAAATAAAATATAAATATAGGATCATTCAAAAAGAAAATAAGAGCAGAAGTAGGAAATAAATTAACGAATTGAATACATGTTATTTTTATTTGGACGATATTTAAAAAATTACATCAACTTGTCGAACAAAGGCATTCCAGTCATTAAAGTACCAAATGTCAAGTTCTCACTTGAACTTCTTATGATTCGCAATTATCCGTTGATATACTTGATTAAACTCGGGATCATTCTGGCATAAAAAATTATCGACAATCAATCCCTCCATTTTCTTCCTCAATTCGGCTTGCGCCACGGGATCTCCTTGAAAAGGTTGAAAGCTTGATCTAAGATTAATTTTAGAATCTTCTGCTGCGGTGTTGCTAAGAGATTCGAGATTCCGAAGGATATAACGTTCATCTATTGGATCAAGAAACAACACCGGTCCTACTTGTGATATGGCAACGAATATAGTTATGAAAAGTTGTCGAAGAATAGCAATTTGTTCGAAAATAGTCCAACGCGATAACCCAAATGGGATGATTTCGGACATGTTCGGATTCGAGATCATCAATGATTCAATGCAAGCCATGCCAAAAAACACTACAAATCTCCAGAAACGTCCGAATTGACCCTTCCCCAAGATGTTCAGGATTAGAAGAACCAGACCAACCCCCACATAATATCCAATGAAAGATGATGACCAACCGTGTACAAGGTAATCACGGATGGTTTGACAATGATTCCAATTCGTGATTTCCGGACCAAACCTATGTTGTTTTCATAACTTGTTACTATTCGTTGAATAAGGAGGCAAGTCTTTGATCACATTCTATATGGAGGACTAACTAAACCTGTCATACGCGAACCGTTTTGCCGGATCAGTCAATGTATCATAGGCTACACGCAATGCTATGAAATTTGCTTGAGCCGCTTCTCCCTGGTTTTTATCGGGATGAAATAATAATTGACTGTAAAACATTAAATTCAGATATATTTTAAAACACTTAAAGTATCACCATTATTATGAAAAGATATAGCTCACAGTTTCCGATAGTTGGTCTTGATTTCTTTACCAGTGAAATTCTGATCTACATTAAGCGCATCATAGTAATTCGGTTGTATAGAACGAACAACTTCGATGATCGTGTATACTAGATATGCTAACACAACAAAGGTATATATTCTTTTATAATGTACATAATACCTCGGTTGCCCGGGTTTTGGATGATTAATTCCTATACAGTAAGCTAGCTTGTAACAAGTGTTTTGAATAAATCTTGTGGCCAAACTTGGAAGAAATGTCCAACCCAAGAAATTTAACAGATCTGACATCGTTAAATTGAGAAGTGACGGCAATTACGTACCTCAAATAATGTTTATCTGTTCGGAAAGTCCCGGTTGGGTCACCAATCATATAACCGGCACATAATTCGGCTAATAATTGAAAATTCTTTCACATAATCAATTCTATTCTCTTTACATATAATAATTATTTTACAATAGGATTTTATCAATCCTATTAAATCATTTATAATTATTTTAAAATTTTTGCTATTTTTTTTTTATATACATTTGTTAATTTCCAAATTTTGCAAATTTCTTTTTTCCTTATTTTTTTTTTATTAATTTTTATAAGTTCTTAATTAGATTAAAATACAAACTATTGAATAATCAATTCATTATAATAAGTATATTTTTTTGAAAAAAATCTTTGCTTTGAAACTTATATACTTAAGATTATTATTCTAATGAAGTTATCAATTATTCTTAATTATTTTTTTAATTTCAAGAAATTATTTCTGATAATTTTAACAAATAAATTTATTTTTAGAAATATTTTTTATTAATTTATAATATTTATTTTTTATTTATTTTTTTTTTTAAAACCTATGATCAGGTCAGTACTATATGTTTATTAATCAAAAT